CCATCCTCCAGTGTCAAAGCTGTCTCCTGGATCAAGCAAAGGACATAAATAGTACTCTCCAGGTCTGAAAGACACGTCCATTTCCTGGCTTTTCTTTCTTGCTCCTGAAACCCTTCTTTTATGCTTCTGAGATGGCTGATTTTATACCGAACAAGGTAACAATTTGAAAATTTGGAGTCCATGTGAATTTGAAATTCTGTTCTATATTCTCCTCTTGATTAGTTGTTCTATAGAATCTTTGATTAAAATGTTTAATAATAGTAGCCAGACACCAAGTTCTACTTCCTAAATGGTCCAGGACAAATGCAAAGGAGGCATTTGTTCATGGAGGCAATTAGCAAAGCATCACTTCATCCCCTCCTACTATTTCTCATTCTCCTTCTGTTGCTCCAGGAGAGTAGAGACCAATACCTTGAGTGAGTATTTACCAGATTTTGAGGTTCAGGTACCATGAAACAAAGGAAGAAGTAGAACAGAGCACTAAATACAATTTTTACCTAATAACTGAAATATCTCTGGAAGCCATGGCCCTGAAACTTCAATCAAGGAAGCAAACCTCATGAGATCATGTGAGGTGTTTGGCTGGACACAAAAAGTCCAAGGAGTCTTTTGTTTTGTTTTTGCTGTCAATCAGAAGCCCTCATGATACACCGGTTGAGCACTGGGCTGTTAACCCGAAGATCAGTGGTTTGAACCCACCATTCACTCTGAGGGAGAAAACAGTGGCAGTGTGCTTCTGCAGATTTACAACCTTGGACAACTCTGTTGACCATTTTTACGCTGGTCTATAGGGTCTCTATGAGTTAGAATGGATTCAGTGTCATGGCATTTGTTTTTGGTTTGGTGTTTATTTTGTCTTACTCAGACTACTGCAGCATCCTCCGACCTGCTGTGACCGTCTTCCTTCTCCCCTATCCAATCTCTTCTTCACCTTGCATCCAGAGTACACTTCGTGGTCCGTATTCGTTTCCCGTTGCGGCTGTAATGCTCACAGACGGAGTCGCTTCCAACAGCGCTCACTTGTTTCTTTCACTTTCCCCAGGCTGCAGTCAGAGGTTTGATAGGTCTCTGTTTCTTTTGGAGGCTCTAGGGAAAGTTGCTTCTTTGTCCTTTCTAGCTGCTCCAGGCCCTGCCCAGTCTTTGCTTGGGGGCCCTTCGGCACTCTGACCACTGCTTCTGCCTTCATGTCTCTGGTGCCCTTGTCTCTCCCCTATAAGGATTGTTGTGATTGCACTGAGTCCCCCTGGATAATCCAGAATAATTTTCCCATCTCAGTATCCTTAATTTAATTACCCTGTAGAGCTCCGCTAGCAATATGAAGTAACATATTCTCAGGCTTTAGGAACTAGCACGTGGACGTCTTTCAGGGACCATTATTTGCTTACCACAGCTTCTATCACAGAGCAGTCTTCAAATGAAAAAGTAAGCCCAACCAATAAACCCATTCACTGTTACTGAGTAGATTCGGATGTGTACAATCCTGTAGGACAGAGTGGAACTGTTCTTGTGGGTTTCCAAGACTATCCATCTTTATGGGAGTAGAAAGCCGCACTTTTCTCTCCAGGAGTGGCTGGCGGTTTCGAACTGCTGACCTTGAGGTTAGAAACCCAAGATGTAACCCATTATGCCATCAGAGTAGTACCTGGTACTGTCACAGAATAGTACCTGGAAAATAAGGTATTCTTTTATATATATTCTCTTTATTTCTATCTCTACATCCATATCTACAGCTGTATATCTGTATAAACTTTAAGCGGGAAAATGTTTTTTTATTTAAAGCTTTATTTTATATTTAAAGCTTTTTTCTCTGCCTTTCCATAGTAGTTACCCAAGTGGTAGACTAGGTTATGTGTTAGGCTGCAAATCCTGAGGTCGACAGTTTAAACCAACCAGCAGCTCCAAGGGAGAAAGATGATGCTTTCTACTCCTGTAAAGATTTATAGCCTTAGAAACCCACAGAGGCAGTTCTACTCTGTCCAATAGGGTCACTGTGAGTCAGAGTCAGTCGGAAATGACAGTGAGTTTTGGTTTTCTGGATTTCAATTGTTTTAAGGACTAAAGAGTAACACGGTCTGAAACGTCTATGTGACCTGACCTGATACTTGCTTGGGGTTTTATTATCTTCATGGGCTCCCCCCGTCTTAGTTCACAGAATTCCATCTCCACGTCTTCTTCTAGCTCTTTCGAAACTCACCCTGGTCTCTACCTGGACCATTATGCAAATCCCTTTGTCTGCACACCTGCCACCCACCTTTTGGATCTCCTTAGGGGAGGTCATCTCTGCCTCTTCTGTGTTGGTTACATTCTCTCTTGGACGGTGGTCTTCTTCAGAGATCTTGATCGAAACTAGCAGCAATTTATTATTTTTTGTTTCATGTGTCTGACTAGAAGCTTTATGAAGGTCACCTACTTTACTATATCATCCATGGTGCTCATTTATTGGATCCTCCATACACAGTTGTTATAGGAATGGACTTTTAAAGGTAGTATGTATGCTCACGTGTCTCCAGATCGGTTCTCCCATCTCTGCTTGTAGCGGCGAAATGCGAGAGGTGTATTTGCTGTGCCTCCCGGCAGGGCAGGGATTTCGAAGGTTTTTTCCCCTCTTTGACCGAGTATTGTTGGAAGAAGTGCCGCTGAGACTGCAACCAAAGGAGGCATTGTGCTCCCAGGAAAACGTCCAGGAAACTGAGACTGCAACCAAAGGAGGCATTGTGCTCCCAGGAAAACGTCCAGGAAAAGTCCCGCCAGCCACTGTCGCAGCTGTTGGGTTCGGCTCAAAGGAAAGGGTGCAGAGATTCCACCGATGAGTAGTTCTTCTCCCCGAATTTGGAGGCTCCGAAGGATTATTATTTAGAGATGATGACATTCCAGGGAAGCAGGTAGACTAGAATGAACCACCATTGACATGACATCATGTGTAGCTGTCCATTCCACTGACGGTCTCTTTCATCCTGTATATAATCTCCATGTCTCTCTTTTGGAATAAACTATTGATATGCGGCAGTATGTTTATAAAGTTGTCCCTGGTTTTGTTACCTGTGCAATATTGGAGTACTCACATGCAGTATGGATTCTTGGGTTGGAGTTAAGCTTCGTTTAATAACAACAGGTGGTCATTTATTATTAAGTGAAGAAACCGAAAGTTAATTTTTGTTTTTCAGTACAAAAAGTATTATTGAGTGATTTTCGGGCCTCTCATCTCTCAAAGACTCTTTCAAGGCCTCTTTCAGCATGAACATAGAGTGTCACACAGGCTCAATATTCCTGTTAAAATTTAAAGTGATGGCCTTTTGTCTCAGTTGATGTCTTAGAACCGAGGTTGCTTTTCTGCTTTGAGTCCGTGGCCTGTGGAACACTGGTTCTACCCTGAAAGATGCATCTCCCATAACAGTAGTACTCCCGGGAAGTCTGTGAAGCTCAAAATAAACGACCCTC